CTGCAACCTCCCGTGTCCCTGCTGCTGCTGCTGCTACTACTACTACTGCTACTGCTGCTGCTGCTGCTGCTGCTGCTGCTGCTGCTGCTGCTGTTACCTTCTATATAGAGTAGACCTGGTTGATGGGGGGTGGCTGATAGCCGCACAACTTTGCTGCTGCCGGGGTGTATATGCAGCTCCACGCGCGAGACAGAAACAGCAGTTGTATTTTTTTCTCTTTCTTTCTCTCTCTCTGTCTCTGTCTCCTCAGCAGCAACAGCACCAGCACCAGCAGCAGCAGCAGCAGCAGCAGCTGCTGCTGCTGCTGCTGATGATGAAGGTATGAGTCTAGCTAGGAGACGGAGAGACGTAATATGTAAAGANCTGCTGCTGCTGATGATGAAGGTATGAGTCTAGCTAGGAGACGGAGAGACGTAATATGTAAAGAAATAGAGAGAGGGTTCGTTACTATAAACTCCACCACCACAGGCAGCCCCACACTTGTTTTTCTTTTCTTTGATACAAAAAAACAAAAACTTTCGTGCTCTGCAACATCCTAAAAAATATAAAACAAATACACACAATATGCATGCAGAGCGCATGCAGAGCGCATGCAATTTGTATGCAATTTGTTAACAAAGCGCATGCACTGCGCATGCACAGCGCATGCACAGTGCATGCAGAGCGCATGCAAATTGTATGCAATTTGTATGCAATTTGTAAGCAAAGTGCATGCACAGCGCATGCAGAGCGCATGCACAGCGCATGCACAGCGCATGCATGCAGAATGTATGGGTAATGTTTGTATTCGTATATGAAAAAACAAAACAAAATAAATAAAACAAATTAACAAAGGCAAAAAAACAAATAAAACAAACAAACGAACACAATAGAAAAAAAACAAAAAAACAAAACAAATCAACAAAAGCAAACAAAACAAACAAACAAAAAAACAAAACAAAAGAAACAAAAAAAAACAGCGCAGAGGGCCTGTCTGCAACAGAAGCAACCCTCCAAGAGCAGCAGCAGTAGCAACAGCAGCAGCAGCAACAACAGCGGCAGCAACAGCAGCAGCAGCAACAGCAGCAGCAACAGCAGCAGCAGCAGCAGTCTAGGTGGTGTAAGAGATTGTTTCTTTAACATACAGAATCATCGTGTTCTGTTTGCTGCTCATCATCAGTATAGTTTGCTGCTGCAGCTGCAGCATCAGCTGGTTTTGCTGCTGCTGCTGCTGCTGCAGCAGCAGCAGCAGCAGCAGCAGCAGCAGCAGCAGCAGATTTTTTTTTCCACATATTATACTGTCTATCAAGGAAGTGCTGCTGCAGCAGCAGCTCCTCAACAGCATCAGGCGGTACGCTGCGGCAGCAGCTTTCTGCTAGCTGTACAAAAGAAGCAGGCGGCTCTGCTGCTGCTGCTGCTGCTGCTGCTGCAGCAGCAGCAGCAGAGTCTTCTTGTGAAATATATTGCTGCTCTGTCTCCTCCGCTAGAGGGGGCATCGCGTCCCCCAACAGGTACACCCCAATGCTGCATACACACAACACACACTGCTGCTGCTGCTGCTGCTGCTGCTGCTGCTGTTGCTGCTGCTACTGCTGCTGTTGCTGCTGCTGCTGCTGCTGTTGCTGCTGCTGCTGTTGCTGCTGCTGCTGTTAGTGTTTTTGCTAATCATGGTGCTGTTGCTGCTGTTGCTGTGTCCACTGCAGCAGCAGCAGCAGCAGCAGCAGCAGCAGCAGCAAATGATTCGCTGCTGCTGCTGCTGCTGCTATAGAGTAAGTATAAAGACAAATCAAAGAAATAAAACAAAAAAAAAATAAAAACAAATACTCAGTTGCTGTAACCACCGCTTCTATCTTTCACGCAAACCACCTGCCTATACACCCCAGCAAGCTGCCTATACACCCCACGCACCTGCCCCTGAACAGCCCCAAAGAGTCTCTTTGCTGCACCAGCGGAATCCTCAGATCCGCATCCACAGCAACGCACATAGGGGGGCCCCCTGGGGCCCCCAGGCACCTTTCAGGTTTTGCTGCTAGACGCTGGCGCTCTATAAGGAAGCGACAAACAAAGAGAAGCTCACGCATGTAGTGACTCTGACGCTCAGCTGGGATTATAGGTAAACCTGCAGCAGCAGCAGCAGCAGCAGCAGCAGCAGCAGCAGCAGCAGCAGCAGCAACAGCAGCAACAGCAGCAGCAGCAGCAGCAGTGGAAGCAGCAGCAGGTAATGGAATTCTTTGAAAGAACAATACGTAAACGCAGTAAATAACAATAAGAGTATAATAGTAATAATAATAAAAATAAAAAAAAAAATAAAAATAAAAATAAATAAATAAATAAATAAATTTAGCTGAAGAAAGAAAGAGAAAAAAAGAAACAAACAAACAAACAAACAAAGAAAAAAAGAGAAACAAAGAGAAAGAAAGAGATGCTGTATACCTGTATAATAGTATTTATTTATTTATTTATATTTGTTTATAGTGGCAACACAAACAAACAAAAAACAAAAAAAAAAGCAGAGACTGATCTATAAAACGAAGAGAAAGAAAGAAAGAAAGAAAAAGAGAGAAACAAAGAGAGAAACAAAGAGAGAAACAAAGAGAGAAAAAGAGAGAAACAAAGAGAGAAAAAGACAGAAAAAAAGGAGATATATAATATACCTGTATAATAATATTTATTAATATATTTATATTCATTTATAGTGGTAATATAATCAAACAAAAAACAAAAAAGAAGAAGACAGAAAAAGAGAGAAAAAGAGAGAAAAAGAGAGAAACAAAGCGAAACAAAGAGCAACAAAGACAGAAAAAGACAGAAAAAAAGATAGATGCTGCATACCTGTATAATAATATTTACTTATATATTTATATTCATTTATAGTCGTAATATAATCAAACAAAAAACAAAAAAGAAGCAGAGACTGATCTATAAGACAAAGAAAGACAGAAAAAGACAGAAAAAGAGAGAAAAAGAGAGAAACAAAGAGAAACAAAGAGAGAAAAAGACAGAAAAAAAAGGAGATATATAATATACCTGTATAATAGTATTTATTTATATATTTATATTCATTTATAGTTGTAATATAATCAAACAAAGAACAAAAAAGAAGCAGAGATTCATCTATAAGTCTGAGGTTATATGTTTGTCTCCCCATTATAAAACGCAAATGCTGCAACACAAAGTGCCAGCCCCCCTGTCTATACACCCCAAAAACGTCTAAATAACAACGAAGAGCAAAACGTTTATATCCTGAACACACACAAATATATTTTTTTTTATTTTGTTTATTTATTTTTTTTTTAATTTTTTTTTTTTTTTTTTTTTTTTTTTTTTTTTTTTTTTTTTTTTT